AAGCCTCTATCCAATGAGCTATATCACTTCCATCTAAATCCCTCTATAATATGCACCAGCAAGACTTCAAACTGAATTCTTAATGAAATCCTCGGTAAACGTTGCTCCGTGTCTCTGTATCTTAACAGATGGGCACCAAGTTTAATTTTCAATATTTGCTTCCAACTATAATCCATGGCTTTGTTGACATGAATTATTATTCAGCTCAACTAGATGACGTATCAACATCACAGCGGCCCGAGAGCGTAAATGAATATTTTAAACGACGTGTGTCCCTGGAGGAAGGACGACGCAAGGCTGGAAGGAGTGGATATGGATATTAAAAATAGATAAACGTCTCTCTTCAACGATGTCATGGCTAAATAATTTAAGTAATGCATTGAATATGAATTTTCCATTCTAAAGTAATGCGCGCACATGCTCACTTTCAAGCTGATCTGAAAGATAGGTCGCCTTTACATCGGAAATTATGTAATGAATATGCACTTGCATAGAGGATTGAACATTGATGAAGCTTATACTGATACTAGCATGAACCCGCGGTTCCGCCGGGGAAAAGTAGTGTAAAGTATAGGTCATTCGTTTTGAATTAGTGTGAAGGAGATTGATTACGGAAAAAGTATTCCAATATTCAAGCTAATACAATAGTTGTTTTGGCAATGGACATTTCTTACTCAACATTTTGGTACCTACACGAATAAATAGAAATGAAATGTCTGCTGTCATAAGCCAGACCGCAGTAAGTGCAAAGAGTGTGAAAATGAGATATCGTCATTATACTATAAAAGGCATGTAAAGGAAGGATATTTCGATGATAAATTACAGTATATATCATGATAAGTACCGAAAATCTGAAATTTTTCTTTTACAGCATCTAGCATTTTGACTATCATCTTAAATTAGAATACAGCATATGCACATCAATAAATTTAAACACAGTAAATGACCGGCACTTACTATATTCTTGCTTAGAAGCCATACAGATACTGTGTTTTGGTTTACAACCAAAGCAATGGGGATAGCAGGTACTATAAGAGATGCCTACACGTAGTCACACCGAATTCGTAATATTCTTAATTACTTTTCGTCGGTCATTTAGAATATTTGTAAGGATACTGTAAAACTTTTTTGTAGGTTTGATTTCGTATACTAAAGATGTATAGGGTGTAAAGTTAGTGGTGGGTTAGTAGTCAGGTGAGCGCCTTTTATAGTTCCGGAGATATTTTGGAGTATTTTGCGAGTTTATGTTTTTAGATATTTATAAATAGAAATGGCACATGTGTACACTAATGAGGAGTTAGTGGACATTAATTTAGCGTACGGAGAAGTAGGGCAAAATTCGCGAGCGGCTTCTCGTTTGTATGCACACCGATTTCCGAATAGGCACATACCACATCACGAAACATTTAGTTCAATTGTTTTACGTGCACGTGCTAGTGGAGATTTGTGCCCCAGACGTGGAGTGGATGGGGATCTGGTTCGCCCACAACGCGTTTTAAATCTGAAATTTTTCTTTTACAGTATCTAGCATTTTGACTGTCATCTTAAATTAGAATACAGCACATGCACATCAATAAATTTAAACACAGTAAATGCCCGGCACTTACTATATTCTTGCTTAGAAGCCATACAGATACTGTGTTTTGGTTTACAACCAAAGCAATGGGGATAGCAGGTACTATAAGAGATACCTACACGTAGTCACACCGAATTCGTAATATTCTTAATTACTTTTCGTCGGTCATTTAGAATATTTGTAAGGATACTGTACAACTTTTTTGTAGGTTTGGTTTCGTATACTAAAGATATATAGGGTGTAAAGTTAGTAGTGGATCGACGGAAGTCAGGTGAGCGCCTTTTATAGTTCCGAAGATATTTGCACTTTTGTGAAATTTCGAAAAAAAAAACGCGATAATGAACTTTCAATCGCAATTACAGCTAAACCATTAGGTTTGGAGCTGTGATTTTTTTTTAAATGAGCTAAATGGTTAGTTTTAGCAATGACTATGTCACTGTTTAACAGAGCTGATTAGAAATCAACGCAAAAAATCTTAAATAAATTTTTGTTTGTAAAAAATCTCTTCCATCGCCAACTTTGAAGGGCGGTAAAAAATTGAGGTTGAATTTCATTATTCATTTTATGGTAAAAACTATTACAATCTATGAAGAATAAACCCTGAAAATTTCAGTTCCCTACGATAAGCGCCTCAGCTTAAAAAATCTGTATGTTTGACGCAGGTCTATACATACAGGGTGTCCCAGAAGTCGGCGTCAAGCCGAAACCGGGTGATAGGCAAAGTCACAACAGCTAACAGAAAGATATTTAAAAAAATTTTATGTATGTGTTTTGAAAATTATAGGTCTTTGAAAAAGATATAGAAATTTCACACCCTACGGCAGTCTGTCAACTCCTGTTACTACAAATACATATTTACTTTTTTTGGATTTTATTTTTACAATGTAATGATGAATAATGCATGTTCAAACTGGTGTCTCAACCTCCAATAGATTTTCTAAATGATTTTGCAAAAAACCTAAAAAAACCTCAGCAGACATAATCTCTGGGAATTCAAACGAATCGATTATTTTACCATTTAAAATTCCTGTCCAATGGTTTATCTTGAAGCGATATTGAGATTTATCTTCTCTCATCAAATGTGGGTTTGCTACGTGCCACTCGTGTGAGTTATGCAGGTTCATGTACCCATCTTTCTTAAATGTGGTCTCATCTGACCATAAATTTTTTTCAAATAACTGTGGATCTTCCCTGTGTCTTTCTAACATTGTGCAACTCGGGGCTCATAATCCCGGGGCAGAAGAGCTTGAACACGCTGTACGTGGTATGGATGGAGCACGTTTTTTTGCAAGATTCTATGGGCTGCACTTTTGGGCACATCTGTTTTTAGTTCTATTGCACGCACTGAAGTACTCGGGTCTTCTTCGACAGCTCCTAGCACCACGTCTTCGTAAGGAAGGAAAGATCTTCCCTCACCGTGTGATTGGTTTGGTAGTTGGTCCTCTGAAAACAGTAAGCGGTGCACATTTGTGAACACTCGATGATCTGGATGACGAGCTGCATTCGGGTACCTCTCACAGTAAAGTCTCGCTGCAGCACTAGCGTTGCATCTGCATTCGCCATAAATGAGGTGGATGTTAGCATATTCTTGTACGGTGTACACGGACATAGCGGCACTGCACAATCACACTATCAAAGATAGTCTAAGGAAAGCAATTGTTGTTTTGAAGAGCAATTAAACACTCCAAATCCAAATCACAAGCGATCAACAGTCCAGTTCACGAATCCAAAATTAGTAACAGTACGAAATCAACAAGCACGAACATGAAAAGATGCGCAGTAAACGAAGCAGTACTGATCGGTATCAAAGTGTGCAATAGTAAGTAAGTGATGTGCTTCATCCATACCACATACAGCGTGTTCAACCTCTCCTGCCCCGGGATTATGAGCACCGAGTTGCTTTTTGTCGCGCAATGTTAGAAAGACACAGGAAAGATCAACAATTCTTTGAAAAAATTTTATGGTCGGATGAGACCACATTTAAGAAAGATGGGTACATGAACCTGCATAACTTACACGAGTGGCACGTAGCAAACCCACATTTGATGAGAGAAGATAAATCTCAATATCGCTTCAAGATGAACCATTGGACAGGAATTTTAAATTTTTAAAATAATCGGACCGTTTGAGTTTCCAGAAACTGCTGAAGTTTATTTGGATTTTTTGAAAAATCATGTACAAAATTTATTGGTGGACGTGCCACTGAGTATTTATAAGGACATGTGGTTTCAGCATGATGGCTGCCCAGCGCACTATGCACTCTCAGTGAGAGAGTATCTCGATCAAAACTTTCCAGGCAGATGGATAGGGCGGTCTGGTACAATACCGTGGCCAGCCCGGTCACCAGATTTGAATCCGTTAGATTTTTTTTACTGGGGAACTGTAAAAGAAAAAGTGTATTTCAAGCCGATTCAAAATGTAGCTGAGCTACGGCAAAGACTATTGGAGGCAGCTGAGTTTGTTAATAACCGTGGATTCGCTCGTTTAATAACCCGATCTTTTTTAAGAAGATGTCGAGCGTGTATTGCGGCTGAAGGAAAACAGTTTGAGCATTTGCTGTAAAGGTAAATCATCATCAGCAGCATTTTGACGCCCACTGTTGTGCAAACAGTTATCCTTAAGGGTCCTTGTGCGTTTTCATAATCGCTGTTTAATTAGGAAATTTTGAAAAATTTTCATCAGTTTTTTTTCAAATAAAAATTGTGCTCAAGTTAACGAGTAATCTTCTAAGTGTGATACCATTTTGGAATCGTTATTAAATGCGCCAACTTTTAAGGTTACTTGCCAAACTCTCGTAGTACATTTTTTCTAGTACAGCCAGTTGAAGTTGAGCAAAGTTTTACTTTGGAATACTTGATTGGGAAATAAGTGGCAATTTTTCCTGAACGAGAAAAGTTGGCAGTAAGGTTGAGACACCAGTTTGAAGATGCATTATTCATCATTACATTGTAAAAATAAAACCCAAAAAAAGTTAATATTTGTAGTAACAGGAGTTGACAGACTGCCGTAGGGTGTGAAATTTCTATATTTTTTTCAAAGACCTATAATTTTCAAAACACATACATAAAATTTTTTTAAATATTTTTCTGATAGCTGTTATGACTTTGCCTATCACCCGGTTTCGGCTTGACGTCGACTTCTGGGACACCCTGTATAAACAATAAATTCTATTTTACGAGCTTCAGTTCAAGCGACTTGATGGATTTTGACATATGAGGTACTATTAGATTCGTCCTAGCGGTGCAAGTGATACTGTGTGTATTAACATTTTGTAAAATCAAAATGGCGGATTTTTTACACAAATAGCAAAATCTGCTAAAGCGCTTGGGCATTCAACTGGGCATTCCAGGTGCGGGAGCGTTCAATCTTCGGTCCGACCGAAATTACAGATTATGCGTAAATGTATTACTAATATGGTGATGCCCTAGGAAATACTCGCATATATCGGGAGTATGTGGTTAGAAGAGGTGGGCCACAACCGGCGATATATCTCGACTAGTGTGTTTTTCTGCGCGTCCATAATGGGTATATGGAGGGCCACATACTAGGCACTCATCGTAAGCCCAAAAGAAATAGAAGATATAATATAAGCAGCCGAGAGAGAGAGAGATCTATCTATAAGCACCAGAGCCATTGTCCGAAGCAGAAACATATCCCATACTCCAGTGCACACAATACTACGCTCGGAGAACATGCATCCTTACCATGTACAAAGAGTACATGAATTCATTCCAAGCGACTATGCACACAGGGTTGAATTTTGTGAGAATATGTTGTGACGGTGCGAAGAGGATGAAACTTTTTTCGACAGCATCTTATGGACAGATAAATCCAACTTTAACCGAAACGGAGTATTTAACATGCACAATTCTCCATCAACACGCTATTCGCCGACACAGCTTTCAACGTCAGTTCAGCGTTAATTTGCGGGCTGGAGTAGTCAACAAAAAATTAATTAGACCATATGAATTGCCCGCCAGGTTGAATGGTCAGTCATATCTTGCCTTTCTACAAAGCAGTTTGCGTGAGCTGCTAGAGAATGTACCTTTGAACATTCGAAACCGCGTGAAATTTCAAAGCGATGGTGCCCCATGCCACTTTGCACGGTATGTAGGGCATTACTTACACAGTGCCTTTCCTGGGCGTTGGATAGGTAGAGGTGGACACATACGATGGGCCCCAAGGTCACCCGATTTGAAACCTCTAGATTTTTCATATGGGTTTTTTTTAAGGGAATAGTCTGTACATCGGAATATACAAATGTCAGCCAACTGCGCCAGAAAATTGGTGTTGCAAAAATAAAAATTATGGAAAACGCAAATTCATTTAAAAGACTAAAGAACAATTTTATTAGAATGTGTCGCTTGTTTATAAAAAATAATGAAGGTCATTTCTAACATGTTCTTTAAAAGTTAGTTAAATTAAATTATCTTCCACATTTGTCAGTAAATCTCCATAAAGAGCGGCTAAACACAATAGGTTCTGTACTTGTAGGTGGTAAGGATTCTATTGCGTTTCTTACGTTTATCGCATCGCAACAACGAATGTGGCATGGAACACTCATCGTAGCAAACTGAAATTCTTAGGGTTTATTCTACATAGATTGAAACAGTTTTTAAAATAAAATGAATAATAGAATACAACCTTATTGCAATAAAAAAGGTCATGGAGAAGTTCATAATGGACTGGAACCCAGTTGACGAAAGGATCATAACGGTTGACATGAAAATAAAAGGAAGAGAAATTAAAATATTCGATATCTACGCGCCCACAGACGACTCAGATACAAACACAAAAGACAAATTTTTTGACAAACTCCCTGAGGAATTAGATAAGACGAAAAATAGACAAGAAATAGTCTTGATAGGCGACCTGAACGGAAGAGTGGGCAAAGCTCTTGACAGTAAAATAATTGGACAACACGGAGAGGAAGTAGTCAATGAAAACGGAACCAGATGGATAGAGCTTTGTGAACAACACTCGTTAAGAATCTTAAACGGATTTTTCCAACACAAAGACATACACAAATATACTTGGACTCAAAAAACAAAAAACTTGAAATCAATTATTGACTATGTCGTGATTAAGCAGGACACTTCCATAATACCCTATGATGTAAAAGTTTGGAGAGGAGCTGAGTGAGGTTCAGATCACCTGCTAGTAAAAGCACCCATTGAAATTACTTACAATAAACATCTCATATATCAAGAACAAAACAACAATGGAAAACCCACAAAGCGATATAACCTAGACAGCTTAAGGGATGAATCCACCAGTTTCCTTTACAAACTACGTTTAGCACAAAAACTGGACGAAGATATTAACGGCAAGGCAGAAGAAATGTATGAAACTTTGAAACACAAAATTCACGAAGCAGCACTAGAAGCCCTTGGTGTTAAAGATAGAACGGAACACAAAAATTCTTGGTGGACGGACGATTTAACCCAACTGGTAGAAGAAAAGAAAAACTTATATCTTAAATGGTTAACTATAAAAGACGATGAAGATCGAAAAAGCTATAATCGTTTTAAATATATATAGTAAAAAAGAAATTAAAAAAATAAAAAACAAAACATGGGAAACCGAATGTGCTGAAATTAGCTCAATGGTAGGAGGATCTAGGTCTAGAGAAGCTTGGCGAACTATAAATGGTCTTAAAACAAACACGAATGAAAGAAGAAAAATAAATCCCATAAAAATAGAACAGTGGAAAGACTACTACAATAATCTACTGGCAGAATAACGTGGAGAGTATTTAGACACGCAACTAGATATAGATCAAACGGGAGTTAACAGAGTAGATACCATTCAATTAGAAGAAATAAAAACAGCATTACACAAAATGAAAAATAATAAAGCTCCGGGACCGGAGGATTTGCCTATCGAGTTAATTAAACACGCCACCACAAGCACGCACGAGCTACTTTGTGTAATTTTTAACAAGTGCCTGGAAGGGGAAACGATTCCCAGAGATTGGAGCTCTTACATAAATTCCATTTATAAAAAGGGAAACAGGAGTGACTGTAGTAATTATCGGGGTATTAGTATTACATCGTCCATCGGAAAGCTGTACGAAAGAGTCCTAACAGCCCGAATAGAAGACGAAGCCACGGAAATTGAAGAACAAGGTGGATTTCGACCTGGGCGATCCTGTGTCAACAACATATTTACAATAAAACAACTGACAGAAAAGAGATTAGCAAGAGGAATGGAGCTACACGCTACTTTTATAGATCTCCGCAAGGCATTCGACTCCGTCCCTTTGCAGAAATTATGGATCGCAATGAAAGAAGCAGGCATAAATAGCAAATACATTAACGCCGTAAAAGCAATGTATAGAGAAAATCAAGTGGTCGTTAAAGTCGGAAATCAAATTTCTGAGGCTTTCCCACAAACAAAAGGTGTTAAGCAGGGCTCCTGCCTCTCTCCAACCCTGTTTAAAATTTATCTCTGCAGCGCTTTAAAACAGTGGATAAGAAAGTGCAGCCCCATGGGGATATGGTTAGAGGACTTTCACTTGTATACAGTCCTCTTTGCAGATGATCAGGTAGTCTTTGCAGAAGACCAGCAAGACATGACTTACATGATAAACAAACTTATAGAAGAATTCACTAAATGGGGTTTGGAGATAAATATACAAAAGACACAATACATGACTATAGGAGGCACAGGACAAGACATCGAAACAAAAAGCGGAAAAATAGAAAACGTCGGACAGTACCAGTACCTAGGAGTTACAATAGATGAAAGCGGAAAGGATAATAAAGACATACTAAGGAAAATATTAAAAGGAAAAAATATGATTAAAGCACTACATCCGATCTTGTGGAGTAAGAACCTAACAAAGAAAACAAAAAAAATTATATATCAGGCTATGATTCAGCCAGTACTGACGTATGGGTCAGAAGCGTGGGTTGTAGATAAAAATATGTCACAAAAGCTTCTCTCAACCGAAATGATGTACTGGAGAAGATGTTCCGGTTTAACTTTACTTGACCATGTTAGAAATGAGACCATCAGAGAAAGAATGGAAGTCGAAAATACAATAATGGACGATATAACAGAGAGGCAGTTAAAATGGTATGGACACCTGCAACGAATGAACGAAGAAAGGATACCATTAAGGGTTTCGAAATGGACACCAGCACAAAGAAATAAACGAGGAAGACCACGAAGGAAATGGATTTCAAACATCCATACCGCAATGGAAAGTAGAGGACTACATGAAGGAGACTGGAACGATAGGATACGATGGCGTATGGGTTGCGAGAAGCGACCTTAGGTTGCAGAAACTCGCCATATATATATATATATAGAATACAACCTCAATTTTTTCTACCATCCTTCGGGTTGAGGGATGGAAGAGATTTTTCACAAAAAAATGAATTTAAGATTTTTTCGTTGATTTCTGGTAAAAATTGCTAAAACTAACTATTTAGCTCATCTCAGAAATAGTCCATTCAAATCAATAAAACACCTTATATGGATACAGAGTAGACAGTGTAGACGTGTACTGAGCCACTAAGTATTCGAAATAACTTCCCTCAGTGCGTAGCCATCTCATCTGTTTTCAAATTAGTCTGTTTGCTCTACCGGCACTCCCACCGTCTAATTGAAAATGAATATATGCATAATTCATTCAACTCCGTCGACTCTCAATTCGTCCACGGGACCCTTTGATCCTTTATGTCATCTCGCAATTTTATTACAAGGTAAACACTCACTTTCTCTTCCACGGTCGATAGTCAATTTGCCGACGCGGTCTCCAAACAAACACAGGAGACCTTGAGACAAAAGCTATGCGAAGTCGAGCGCACTCGATTGTTTTTAACCCTCTCTCCGTATTGTCTGGATACAAAATAGGATCTATATTTGTACTGGGTAAATATTTGGATTTCCTGAAGTATTTGAGAGTTCAAATGCATCTGTAGAAAGGGTTTGCTTGAACCAAAAGTAACTATAACCCAACTAACCCAACTAGGTACAAGGAGCAAGCCACAAAATTGCTAAATTATTATGAAAAATTTAGAAAAGAAATTAAAATATACTAAGTGACATATAAATCCGAACACCCAGTTTAAACGGTTTTATTTTAATAAAAGTTGGTGAATATATTTATCTTACTGTAAATAACAAGTGAAAAAATGTTCAGCCTTATCAGTTGGACATTCCGGTTTTTATTCTGCTTTTTTTGAATTCACTAACGCTCTAAAAATGAATATTTCAGCCGCAGTAAAGAATCAACGTTGGCGGATTTTGGTTCTTGATATCCTTTACGATCGGTTACGATGCCTAGAGTACGGAGACCTGTACGATTTCGTCAACTTAGTGAGTTTGATAGGGGCCGTATAGTGGGACTTCGGGAAGCTGGACTTGCTTCTCGGGCAATTGCAGTTAGAGTGCAAAGAAGTGTAGACACTGTGGTTAGGTGTTGTCAGGCATGGCTTCGAGAAGGCCGTACGCAAAGAGCAAGGGGCACTGGACGCCGCCGTAGAACAACAGACCGTGAAGATCGCCGCCTAAGATTATTGGCCTTAAGGAACCGTTTCTCCACTACCAGGTCCATTGCAAATGAATGGTTTTCAGAACACGGAAGACCTATTGGCATGCGAAGTGTTTACCGACGAATGAGAAGTTTTGGCTTGTTTTCATACCGGCCACACTGGGTCCTCCCTTTAACTCGAGAACACCGTCGTAATCGCCTTGAGTGGTGCAGACAACGGTCACTCTGGGATCAGGAATGGAACAGTGTTGTCTTTAGTGACGAGTCTCGATTTTGTTTAGGCATGCACCATGGTCGTGCCAGGGTTAGAAGGCAACGTGGTGAAAGGAGGAATCCACAGTTTTTTGTTGAAAGACATGTTCATCACACTGTTGGAGTTATGGTTTGGAGTGCTATAGCTTATGGTTCCAGGTCACCTTTAATCTTC